TCATTGGTGTTGAAAATTAAAATTACTTTGGAGGCATTATTCCAGAGTAAGTAAACATAATGCCTTTCATTTCAACAACTGTTATTTGTAGTTCTGTGCCACAATGCTTCCTGCTTGCTTTGGTGGTTGTTACAAAAGAGGTGTTTACTAAATGGTTTGTGCAGAACTAACACTGTATCCAGTTCTAGCTAAGGAGTAGCTATTTCTTTAGCCTGTGTAGATTATGTAATGCTCAGTTTTTTCTGTAGAAGTTATTTCCCAATTTCTGATTGTTTTAGCTCCTGTAGCTGCAGCAGCTACAGAGACTGCACCAGCTGAGAAGAAGGAAGAAGCAAAGAAGAAGGAAGAGTCTGAGGAATCAGATGATGATATGGGCTTTGGTTAGTAAACAAATATATATAGAACACAGCAACAGACCTTCAGGTTCCATACAATGTGAATGTCTTGAGTAGGTGATTGTTCTGTTTGCTTTTCAAGAAGGATTGTGCTTCATGGAGTTAACATTTGGTAAAGAGTGCAAATTATGAATCCCCTCATTTTATAATTTTCTCTATATTGTTACTCTTTCTTTTCTTTGGTCCAAATACTCATTTCCCAGATTAGTTTGTGTGGTACACAGTATCAAGCACCCAGTGATTATTAATATAGTATGTATTAGCTACTGATAAATACAGTGAAGACATGCGCTGATGAGGGTTCTATGGAACCACATTATGTAACAAGTTTATATCATTTATATCTAGTAACTTCTTGCTGTTTTCTCTTTCAGGCCTGTTTGACTAATTCCAAAGACAAACAACATCTTTAATTTTGTACAGTTCTATTGTACTTTGATAAGGGTAAGAATAAAACATTTGATTTTCATGTTCACCTCTTTTAAATCATAGAGTCTGATTGGATAAAATTCTGACTTCAAAGTATAATGTGCTTGTACTTCGTAAAAAATTGTAAAACTCTTCCCGTCCCCATCATGTTGTGCTTTCCTAAAATGACAGGATGTTCCGTTTGATGACTAAAGAAATCCACTTTGGCAGACATGACTGCATTGAGTAACCCTACTGCATCAGTGCTGAATTAAAACATGTTATGTTTTAATGGAAGCCAGTTTCATTTCAATCAAAACTTCATTCATGTGTCATGACTTTGTGGATTTCTAAATGCAAATGCATGTAACTGGGAGTACCTAGAACAGGTTGAATGGAATTATTTGAAGGGACTGCAGGCCAAAGGGCATTGTGATATAAATTCAGTAAGCCTAAACTCAATTTATTGATAAGACAGTAACATAATTTGGACATATCCCAAACTTTGGTGCTCACAAATTAAGCCTAAGATGTAGTGAGCTCTGTGGTGTTCTCATACTGTTCAGTTTAGTAAGTTTAGAAGAGTAAGTACAGTCCACAGATCAGGAGAAAATCCCTGCTAGGAATTTGATATACGCGCATGCGCAAGATTTCGCGGTGAGTGACGACCCATCCTACAAGCATTCGTTCCACAACCACTCAACGAACAGCAGACGACAGGCTTTCATGTGTTGTAATGGGTACAGCTTTAAGATTACCTCACAGTGATTTAATCTAGAATATTATCGCAGAACACATTAGAGGTGCACTCACTACACGCTACTCTTAACAGTTTGATGTTTTCAGTCTTGTGTAGTAATGTAAAACTCTGACATATCACACTTTCCACCAATAGCAGCCCTCTAGTCCAGCTGATAAGTAACATTCCCCCCACACCACACCAGAAACGACTTCCCTCAGCAGGGTTTTTCTCGTGATCTGTGGACAGTATATGCACTGGTCCCATGTTATAGACTTACGTCATGTTAAAGAATCTTACGAGATGTTTCGTAAGCAAAATTCGGCAGCTATTTCTCACCCAAAAGTCTCCTGATTAACTACTTGATGGCTCTGACAGTCAAATCAGGATTGAGTAGAAATTGTGCAGTCAGTGGGCTGGTCATCCAAAAAACCTCCGAATAGGAGGCGGCGAAAACCCACAACTGTTGTAGTGCCGAGAAACAACAAGGATATGCACTGAAACCCCCAGAAATTGCCATATGTCAATTTCCTTTGGTGACAATACATACTCTGTATGAATGAGTAAAAATGAATAAAAGGTAATGTGACTAATATGAGGTGTTACCCAAAAGTTTGGGGAATTTGAATTCCACGCGTGAACCGGTTGTGGCCGCTAGTTGGGGCGAGCAGTAACCTTTGTGAATTAGTGTGTCAACAGCCGTGAAGGCGAGAGGCCGCATTCTTGAGTTTCGTGCATTTTTGTTGTGTTGTACTGGTTTGGCGATTTTTTAAACCTTCATCAATGGCAGATTTTAAGGAGCAAAGAATCTGCATCAAATTTTGGTTTTAAGCTTAAAAAAATGATGTAGAACCCCACCGCATGCTTGCGGAAGCATTTGGTGAGAATGCTATGAGTCAAAGTGAAACTTTTTTGTGGTACAAACGTTTTAACGATGGACGAACGTTCAGGAGCAATGTGAAGTCCATGTTCATTAGTTGTGTGGGGGATTGTTTTGTTTTTTTATATTTTTATATCCAAGGCATAGTCCACAAGGAATTTGTCTCCCCTGGTCAAACTGTCAATGGGAACTTTTATTGTTAAGTTTTGAAGCTGCTACGGGAGAGCATTTGGCACAAACGTCTGGAAACGTGGGAGAACAACAGCTGGGTTCTCCACCATGACAGCGCGCCTGCACATCGCTCGTTGTTTGGCAGTTTTTGACTGGTCCCATGTTATAGACTTACGTCATGTTAAAGAATCTTACGAGATGTTTCGTAAGCAAAATTCGGCAGCTATTTCTCACCCAAAAGTCTCCTGATTAACTACTTGATGGCTCTGACAGTCAAATCAGGATTGAGTAGAAATTGTGCAGTCAGTGGGCTGGTCATCCAAAAAACCTCCGAATAGGAGGCGGCGAAAACCCACAACTGTTGTAGTGCCGAGAAACAACAAGGATATGCACTGAAACCCCCAGAAATTGCCATATGTCAATTTCCTTTGGTGACAATACATACTCTGTATGAATGAGTAAAAATGAATAAAAGGTAATGTGACTAATATGAGGTGTTACCCAAAAGTTTGGGGAATTTGAATTCCACGCGTGAACCGGTTGTGGCCGCTAGTTGGGGCGAGCAGTAACCTTTGTGAATTAGTGTGTCAACAGCCGTGAAGGCGAGAGGCCGCATTCTTGAGTTTCGTGCATTTTTGTTGTGTTGTACTGGTTTGGCGATTTTTTAAACCTTCATCAATGGCAGATTTTAAGGAGCAAAGAATCTGCATCAAATTTTGGTTTTAAGCTTAAAAAAATGATGTAGAACCCCACCGCATGCTTGCGGAAGCATTTGGTGAGAATGCTATGAGTCAAAGTGAAACTTTTTTGTGGTACAAACGTTTTAACGATGGACGAACGTTCAGGAGCAATGTGAAGTCCATGTTCATTAGTTGTGTGGGGGATTGTTTTGTTTTTTTGACTTCCAGGAATGCATGGAATCATGGAAAAAACGCTGGGATTGCTATATCCATGCCCAAGGGGACTACTTCAAAGGGGAAGGTGGACACTAGGAGTTATGATTAGCAATTTGGGGGGGGGGGCAAATTCCCTGAACTCTTGGGTAGCACCTCGTACATGATCAGTGAGGACTGGACTGAATTTTTCTAAAAGCTGTAGTTTGCCAATCTTTGCTGTGAAGCGGATATGTGCACTCTCCATGATTTTTGGCCTGCAAACTTGTAATGTATTAAAAATAAGTTAATGCCATATTTTTGCAGTCTTCTTTAATCCAGTAAGCTGTATATTCTAATAATTATAAGATACACTATGTGTAAACAGGTGGTACACGTTACCACTACCTCTTAAAGGGTTATATCAGTATATATAAAATAATGCATATAAACAAAACATTCATCGCCCTGATGATGGAGGCAGTATGACCTCTGAAACGTTGGTTAACATCGACCAGACTACACAGCGCAACAACCCAGAAGACAGAAATCTTCAAAACTGTTTACACTTTGTATGCATGATTTTATATATTTCAGATAAGTATTCAACACTGCATGGTATGCAAGGTTTTAAGGTTAAATCAGTGGTAAAAGTAAAACCATATAGCATCAGTCAGAATGTGACATGGTCTCAACCACCCCAAGACTGGTGACCAGTATGGCAGAAATGACTAGAAGCTTAAATGTTTAAGATCAGAATTCAATAAAAATTGAACAGCTTCTCTTATACAGAGCAAGGATAATATAACTTGCACAACTTGACTTTATTGCAAGCACTGTATGTTCATTACAAACAAGTATTTAAACAGGAAATGTTTAACTTTAGCATAAATTACCACATAGCTCTTTGCACACCTGCTAACTTATTATAATCTGCAAGATGTCGCCACACAATTCTACTAAGTCTCCACTTGAAAACAACACCTCTTGGTCTTGAAGTTATAGCACAACGATGTCTCACACGAATATAGTTAGAATCACGTGGCAAAGCTGCAACTTCCTGATCTGCTATCTCCTGTGTGAAAACATATTTATTATGACAATATAAGTAATGTGGAAAGAAAGTAATTTGGAATTGAAGCTTCCTGTATTAAAACACCAAGAATGTTTGCTGAATTGTCATACTAGAGAGTTGTGTTGTCCTAATAAAACATGCAGCAATGAAATACAGCCTAATATTTTACAAATGACTGCTAAACAGATATGCTGTGATATGAGAGCCATCAGATTCAGCTGATCTTATAAAGGGGAAAATACATTACAGTCCAATATGTGACAAAATACAAACAAAAACTATCCATGTATCATGTTGAAATGAATATGCCTCACAGGTGGGTCCTTGAACTCAATTTCACATTTAGAAAAGGACATTTAACAATAACAATATTAAAATTAATGTAGTTGATCTAATGAAATGCCTCGTGCTAATATAAGTGGCTGTCAAAGATCATGCTGGTGCAACTTCACTTTAGCCACATTAATGAATGTCTGGACATGCTTCCTACGAAATAAAACTAGAGTATGCACTTCAAGTCAGAAAGGGAGTCCATCAGAAATTACTTTAACTAATGTATCAAAAGGAAAACTTTGATAATGGAAGACTGTAGTGTGAAGTCTGTCAGAGCACATGAACTAATGACCTCTGATACAGATTCTGTTGTGAAACTGCAAGAATGATCACTGTGAAAGAGTGCTACTATAGGAATAATGCAATGACTGGTGAATTCTGTACAGGCTTAAGAAATGCTGTATAAGATGAAATGAAACAAAAATGCATTTATTCCCCAAGCTACTCCCATCAAGCAAAAGAGTTAAATCTTGTGATCATTTAATATCCGGATTCTTGTGGAAACTAGTTTTCAAATGTTGAAGAATTCAACGGTTCAAGAAGACTATAACCATCACACTAAACAGGTACCATTAAGCTAATCCATTTACAAGGCATCACTATTCACTGCAGCAGGTGCATGCTTGTTGCTTTTAGTGATGCATTCCATGAGTCCTGTGTACAATATATTTGGAAAATACCAACAATATTCCTACTAACACATGTTATGAACAGTTCTGTAAATAAATTAAGAACGACACTCGTAATAAAATTAACCTAAACACTACCTTTACAAAATGCATTTTACCCGTAGTTCCACAGGCAGTATGTCATTCTTCCGCAAGGAGTTTATTCTCATTCTTTCTGCTCCAAATTCCTTCAGTGTTTTTCTTCTTTTAACATCTCTTATCATTTGCCAATCTGCGTATTTGTTTCGAATTTGCTGACCCTACTGACAAACATACACTTTATCTCAATACACATGAAAGGCAATAACCATGTATATACTCACGTAAATTACGCACCTGGTTGCCAGTCATTTTGGGACATTTAATTATAAATTTTGATATAGCTGTTACAATTCCAAACATCGTCATTATCAAATTTCGTTATTGACTTCCATACATATACAACATAAACGCAAGTAATGTGTGGTTATGATTGGTGACTTAAAATCCGTGATGACCAGAGACGATATTCAATAGTAAGAGTGTCAACAGAGAGGAGTTATCTTTGGTAGACAGAGTGCGTAGGACATTCACGGTTATTTAGTGTCCGCAAATAGTTTTCAAACAAATCTGAACATAAGTGGATAAATCGGTCTCCAGTGGTGAAAACCTCGGTCTGGTTGTAGTCTGATTAAACGTGTGTGTAGCAATCACTATGATTTTTTAATTCTTATAAACTCCAAAGATGTTAATTCTGTATGTGTTTCTCACTTGCCAAACATGCAGCAAGCCTTTTCATCTTGATGTTCTTGATTTCATGTTCCAAATAATACTTGGTAAAGAATGCGGATTATAGAACTCCTTCTAATGCAATATTCAAATGTCTTTTAGTAATGTTAATATTATTGTAACGTGGGTCGGCGTTGCGACCTGGATTGTCAACCCTGATTTATTCACGTCAAATTAAATCAGTTACAGTGGTCTGCACATACAGTCATCTCTCTACAACAACGCACTCGAGTCTCTGTTCTCTGTGCACGCGCACACACACACACACACACACACACACACACACACACACACACACACACACACACACACACACACACACACACACACACACACACACACACACACACACACACACACACACACATACTCTGTCCTCCGAGTCTATCTGGTCCCTCGAGTTCGGCGCTCTTCACACTCTTCGCTTACACATCGGCCCGTAGCACCCCACTGGATACACGCTGGCTCCTCGGCCGCCACGGTGCACGTACCCGGTGCCTGCTCACGCAGCCGACCTGTCCATACTCAGCGTCGGCCCGTAGCACCCCACTGGACACACGCTGGCTCCTCGGCCGCCACGGTCCACGTACCCGGTGCCTCACACGTAGCCGACCCGTCCTTTCTCAGCGCCACACCAGACCTCTCGTTGGCTCCACTCTCTCGGCTCTCAGGGCACACTTCTCTTACGCCCGATTCACAGCTCTGTTCTTTCCACACTCCCTTTCCAACAACTCTACTCTCAACACTCTCCCTTTACAACCCCTCTTCAACACTCTCCCTTTACAACCACTCTCGCAACACTCTCCCTTTCCAACCCCTCCAACCCCAACCAACCAACCAAAAAGCTAACTAAGGGCAGAGGCCTGCGCTAGCACAAGCATCGTCCCTTCCTAGGTGAAACCATTCCTGCGCACAAGGCGCATTGCTGGAAATGGTAAACAGTCTTAATATAAAAAACGGAAATTTTGCTATCGCTAACAGGGTTACGTCGTCATTAAACAGACACAACAATTATAAATGAATACAACAACGTCATTAAACAGACACAACAATTATAAACGAATACAACAATTCCAAAAGCAACAATGTCTATAAATAGACACAACAATGCCGAATACGACAATGCTAAATACAACAATGTCTATAAACGATTACAACAATGCCAAACCCAATAATGTTAATAAACAGACAACAATGCCAGACGCGACAATGTCAATAAACAGACAACTAAACTGTTTATTGACATTGTTATGCTGCTCTCAAGGCAACACATCACATTATGTATGTGAGTGTGTGTTTCAGATCAACGTTATTGAAACTACAATTGTATTTGTACCAGTAGCTAATGTTTCTACACGGATAGTAGTTCACAACAAGTCAAATTAGAGGAATGTCAAAGAAATGTTTCCCTATACATCACAACAATAAATTATTCTTATTATTATTTAGATTCCTTGGCGTTATAAAGTGATTGTTGGGGGGGGGGGGCTTAATAATTTTTATTTCTGCATTCTAGCTGAAAATTCAGCACTCATTTGTATATCTACAATTTAGAAAATCAGCAAATGGCTGTGTAGGTCTATAAAGACTGATTTTAGAAAGTAAATTACAGATACAATTTAATATTTCTTAAACGCAACTTACCACTAACAAGTGCTAAAACGCTGGTTTAACGAGTCGCTATTAAATGCTAGTAATAGTTTGTCATGAGGAAGCAAATTACTATTAAAGTTAAAATTGCAGCAGCAACTTCATCTTTCTGCTTATTTTAATTGCTTAATTTCTTTTCTCAATGTCTTGTATGAGCAGAGTAGAGTAGAGTAGAGTTTATTTACATTCCATAGATCCTTCTTAGGACTCAACCAAAGGATGTAGAACATGTCATTTCATACAATATACATACACTTCACAACTTTCAACACAAGTACAAGAACGTATTTCACATATCAATGTACATAAATTTCAGATTCTGCAATACAAGTATGAAAAATAATTTTACAAATTAATATACATAAACCTCAGAATTTTAAATATAAATACAAAACTTGCTTTAACATATACATAGATTATGGATATAAAGCTTAAACATTTTCAGCAGAGATGAAATCATCTACAGAATAGAAGG